CGGCCCACATTTCTGGTGGAGCTATTATCAGAAGCTGCCCTTGCTTGTGGAACGGTGGAACTGGCACGGGACGGAACCCTACCTAACACAGACTAGCTAGCTAGTAGATAGTCATATCTATTGTTTGGCCACACCATACAGTACAGTAGTCCCTTGATGAAGAAATTGCTTGATACGATACTGTAGCCTTGGCATGCTTTAGCTGAAGAGACTCCTGAGGTAAAGGGCACCAACCACTCGAAGGCTGCAACTAGCTAGCCGCTGCAGGAACTCATTCTAACCACTGGCGACTGATGATCTGATGACGATAATGTTGGGTTGCTGACCTGCTGCATGCATGATCAGGCTGTGCTGAAAGAAATTGACTAGACCTTGGTTGGTACACGATTCTACTACTAAAGTAATACTCTGCCTTTTGATCAGGTACACTATGGACAGGTCTACCTAGCTATAAAGTTTCATCATCAAGCATATGGGCACTCCTACTAGCCAGAAATTTCTAGTTGCCTTGAGAGTTTGGCACTGCAGACAAAATGAACTAATACTAACAAATAGCAATGTATCTGTCCGTGCAATCCACACATCCTCTAGTCTACTCCAGTCCAGTCAAAACACGAGATTTCCAATGCTGACCACAGACTGAGTCTGATCACAAATAATAAATAAATACTCGTTCCAAGACTCACGGTAAGCAGACCCAGACAGAGTTGCCAGATCTCCTTTTTTAACAGCGAAATCGTTTTCCTAGTATAGAGTTGTTGTGGCATGAGCATGATTCGATTCTTAACTCTTTTCTATGGAGCATCCTTGAAAATTTTGCGGACAAAGATGCTTTCCAATGAACTAAATGTGCCCCCTGGTACGCATTCGAATCAATGTATATTGTTTTGACTTTCTGGGAAACTCTCTCGTTGCAGGCTTCTCTTGGCAGGTAACATAGTCCCGAGCCTATTAAAATCCATTTTGACATTCTGTATTCTTCAATTCATCATTCCTTCGTTCCTCAAACTTGCGGCGTGGCAGTGGAATTGGCTGTATCCGTGGACTTGGATTGTGTAATCAATGGTTCCACATTGGCATAGGCGGATGCCGCTGCAGCATCGGCGGCCCGTTCTCTCTTTTGTCGTTTTTCTTCATCCGCTTGATCCATCGCCAATATAGCGTCGTGATTTTGCTGGGCAATCTGCAGCGCAAACTTTCGGATAAAGACGAGGCCTCCGTACAGGAAAAAGGAAATCACGACGAGTGTCAGCGCGATGGTGGGTGCGTTAATTATCATGGTTGATTGATTTGTTTGGTTGCTTGCTTCGTGGATACCGTAGAAAGAACAGGGATTGAGTCCTTTATTCTTCGGGTCAACGGATTGTCGCGGTAGACACTAATAGCCAAAGGATGCCTAGCCTGATCTTGGGGAATGGGGACCTCTGTTGATACTATTATAACAACCTGACCACAATAGGTGACAGCTCTTATCAGCAACAACAACACACAGAAGCGGTGCGCAACACTACTCCACAAAGGATTACTAGTACATGTACTGTAGAGAGTTGTTGCGGTGCTGTCGAGGTGTTCGGCAAATCTTTGTCAAAGAAACAATGCTTCTGGAGGGTGAGTGTGCGTCTGAAATAACATTCCATTATTCAAAGCCAATTCAACGGAATGAAAAAGACTTAGGGAGGGATTATCCCAGCGAAATGGGGTATCAGCCCAAAACGCGTACGTCATTTCACTTGGGCAATCACCTCTCGTGGAGCTGCAGCACATCAACAAAAACATCAGGCATGGGAATTCCACCCCACCTCACAGCCGCTTGTAGCTTCCAGGTCCCTCCCGACTAGCGTCACCCAATCAAACAACAATTCTTTCTTTTACCATTTGATTGCCTTACTACATCGGTTTGTTGGCACGCAGATCTCGATCAACCATCTGTTCCCCTATTCGTTGCTATCCGTCAGGTACCACAGCCCATCCAAACGGACGGCATCAGACAACAAACCAACAAAAGTAGTGAGCACTCTATCTATTAGGTCTCTGTTCTGCTGATCTCCATTTCCCGCTACACTACACAGTTGTCTAGTCAGTCTATACCTCAGCCAGAAGAATCATGTACCGACTGCTCTTTCTGCTTCCGTGTGTTGCCGCCTTTATGGGCCAACCTCTGGTGTCGAGAACAAGTGTCAACACACAGTCCTCTGGCTTGTTCATGGGTGGTGCCAGCGGATACGCCACTTCCCTCCCAGGAAAGCAGGAGCGTGTGGAGAAGGTCAAAGAACTCCTCGATTCTTCTCAGATGATCGTGACCGTGCCCTGTGGTGGCATGACGGTAACTCAGTCTCAACAATTGCGTCAATCCATGCCAGAGGGAACCACTGTCATGACAGTCAAGAACAAACTCATGCAGCGTTCTCTAGAGGGATCCGAGTACGAAGCCGCCGGAGAACTTTTGAAGGGATCCAACATGTGGTTCTTCATCGATGAAGACATTGGGGCTTCCATCAAGGCTTTCAACGCGTTTACCAAGGAACAAGGTAAGCAGGAAAGTCACGAAATTCTCGGTGGAGTCATGGAAGGTACAGTCTACGATCAAGCTGGAGTAAAGGCTATTGGAGATCTTCCATCAAAGCAAGATTTGTACGCCATGATTGCTGGATCAATCAAGGCTGTCCCAACCAAGGTTGCAAGAGTCATCAAGGCACCAAACTCCAAGCTCGCTCGAGCAATCAAACTTGCTGGAGAAAAGGCAGAAAACTAGAATTAGAACTATGGAAGCTCTTGAAGGAAATAAATCGGTGTGTGTACTTTTTATCCAATGTCTCGTACGGTACGGTAGAGCCATGACTACCGGTAGTATCTTCAGTTCAACTGAAGAACAAGGCTTCACTTTGTTCTGTTCTCTAGCTAGAAGCTAGTTCTTTGTTTAGCGTTGTCGATGACTAACTAGTAGGCGGTTGCAAATCCACAGACCGAAACCAAAGGAACATCCCTATTTCTACTGGGTCCGCTAGACTTACATTCTTCAGGTAGACTATAGTTACACATAAAAAGTTCAGGAAGATTCGGGGGTTCTTTGTCAACCCAAAGCGCTTATCTATGTTTCGCGGTAGTCTAAGTGTATAGCCTACTGCCGTTACGACTTTTCGTATCGTTCCATCTGTCGAAGGGCAGCCTCCACAAACGCGGGTCCGTTGCTCCCAAAAGGAAAGACGAGACAACTTTCACCGTTTTCTTCAACCAGCTGGAACCCAAACGCCATCATGAGTTCTAATCCACCATTTATGTCAACAATGGCAGCCTTGATCTTTGCATTGGTGAGTCTCACACGGCGAAACTTGGCACCGGCCTCGTCCCCAGCTTGTCCCTTGGTTGTTGCATTCTTCACTAAAGTTCTGATAATGGTAAAGGATTTGAGAACAACATCATGAGTGTTGGTTGTAAGGACCATTGTGTAGGGCTCTTCAAATTCCGGGTGATCGTGAATCAATATCGCATCTTCTGCCACCTGTCTGTCACTGGCCTTGGCGGGAGCAGCAGCTTCCGCAGGTGGTCGGACCGCCGGGATGGACTGTGGCTCGGCTGACCCACCGCCAGATCCAGAAGCACCTCCCCCAACGGCCCCATGCTGAGCCGTGACAGTGGCATTTCTTGCCTGTCCCGCCGTCGCTTTGTTGGTTTCATAGGGATTGTATCCCAGTTGATTGGCCCATTCAGTTTCATTTCGCTTGGCGAGTTCCATAGCTTTTCTAGCTTCCTCGGTTTTTGGAGTCTCTTGGGTTTTCAGTTGAGCATCCCTTTCTCGCTCTAAATCTTGTTGTCTCTTCTCGGCAGCAGAGAGAATCACAGGGAGTTTCTTTTCTCCCTTGGGCACGGGCTTGGTTTTGGATTTGTGGGCCTTCTCTCGGGCCTCAGCAGCGGCTATCACCGCCTGTTTTCGGGCAAAGGAGTCTGCTGTTTTGGCTGCCGTGTTGTTGCCTGCTTTGGTTGTGATTCGTCGAACATCAAAGACAACCGGTCTTTGCCCTGAGGTTGCCATGGCCAAAAAATCATCATACATGATCTCCGACTGCAAAAAAATCAACAAATGACGAAGATTCACGCGAAGAAGTAGCTGAGTGACCGAACCTGCGAGGCAAAAATCCAATGCGAAGAGCAGCCAGATTTGGGAAATTTAATCACTGACCTTTCCTTCTGATCCAGCAAAGCACAGAATGTCGCCTCGCATCAATCCGGCGACGTCTGCTTGGCTGCCAGGGACAACCATTGACACGATAGATGTACCTTGGCCATTTGCTCTTTTCTCGATCTGCAGAAGCATTGGGCAACAACAAAGTTAAGAAAGTAGACAAAACCTTCAAGCTCAAAACATCACTGTACTCACTCTCAGCCCCAGCGTCCCAGAATCTTTCAGCTCAATATGAATAATCTTTCCTGGGCCTGTTCCACCCAACGACTTGCCGGATCCTTGAAACTTCTTTTGGCCCATGTTGGCGAATGGATTCTTGGGACCCCCACCACTTTTGTTCCCACCTCCACCACTCTTCTTCTTGTCATCGTCACCTTGAAACAAATTGCCAAAGAACGACATGGTTGCAAACTATATACAGTAAGTATGAAAGGGGATAAGGTAGTCTATAGTATCGCAAGGCAGCAGTCAGCCGTTGTTATTGCTTGTGTTTTGTTTGTGCTTTTCGATCTCCGCCGAAACAGATTGGCGACATGGCTTCACGGTACTCCAAGCAATAAATGGACTTTTGAGTCGTGCTTCTTGTTGACATCGCATGATCGCATGTTGATCATTCACATTCGCATCGAACAGATGCCGCAATGCGCAGTGGTCCTGGATCTCTCGAGCTCACTCTCATTTTCAGCGTCTCTGCCTACCGGGTACCGTACGGTACCTTACGGTACCCGGTAGTGCTATGGTACCGTAGTAGCATGCTGGCTAGCACCAGCTACTTTCAGTGTTTAACAATTGTATTTCTGCTGTATTGTTACTTGATGTAAGACGTGAACGCTCATCGCTCATCGTTCTGTAGCTACAAGGATGGAAGCTCGGTCCTGCATATCGGGCACTCCATTTTCACATCCATCCACTGGACCAGGCAATCCTTGTGAAATATGTGATCACATGGTGCCAGCATGTAACCCCGGCGGTTATGCACGTCGATGGGGTTGTAGCAAATGACACAGTCAAGAGTGTGCCCCGAAGCCTGCGCGTTCGTGTCATTCACTACAGTTTCAGCCGTCATTGTGCTCTCGGGACGATTGACCCTGCTTCCCTTAATTCGATTTCGAGTGGTAGGATGCCGATCGTTACTCAGCAACGATTGGGGTTCTGGCAGACTCGACGAGTTTTCTTGGTTTCGACCTTGTCGAAGTGGCATTTCTTCTTGAGTAGCCCCGGGAGGCAACATTGACGTAGGGATTGGTCGACTGTAGTCAAACTTGGGGGGCAAGAAACGCGCCGGGATCATGAACCGTGCTCCATACTTGCCCTGTGCAATCAGAACAGCCGCTTGAATCCCAACCCACAGCACTAGTAGCTCGCACATGTACAAATCCGTTGGGCTCTCCGGGTACACTTCCTTCAGGAAGTTGTTCGGGACGGCAAAAATGTACAGCGGCGCGACTAGCCTCGTCAAACTCATACCGTAGATGTAGTAGTTGTGCATGGGACGCTTCGCCTCCGTGATGACATTTTGAACAATTTGAGGAACCCAGAACGAATACAGTACAAGGTTGTAAGGGATGCGGTACTTGTCTCCAGCGTAGAAGAATGCCAGAAAGGCACCAAAGAGTGCCACATAGAAACGGAGATGTAACATGGCCACTTGTCTCCGAAGCAACTCGGTCGAGTTCCCACCGTTGCTGCTGTTCCTTGCTTGTATTATCAGCGCCATGTACTTCATTTCTATCACACAGAATATGAGTAGTTTGAAGAACGCCACACTGGCAAATGCAGTGAAAAGAGGCTGCATGGCGAGGCTCAAATAGATATGGCCCAAACATAGCAACGCGTCCAACACTGTTTGCCAGCCAATGCACAGAAGCGACACTCGCGTCGCGGCCGATTGTGCTTGCGTGTGCAATAGTTGTCTCAGTAGAACCATGATTTGAGTGAGACACGTCAGCATCATGTAAAAGCTGTAATTGATTGCCTTGCCCGTGGTGTGCTCCCAATCAGTCCTCAGAGCCGTCACATTCAGAGAGGCAGTAAAGTCACAGTTGGGTGAATGGATGGATCCAGTCATGGTCATGATGAGGGCTTGATCTTGAATTGGTTTCCGATTGTGATGTTCGCGAGATGACTTTGACGATTTCGAAGAACCACCGTAGCCCATCCTGTGGCTTTTGCGATCACTGCGGTGCTCTTCAACGGAGTCTTCATTCTCCGTCTGCAATGGATGGTTGGCAGGGTTTAGGTCCATAGTCTCCTTGACTCGACGACCGACCAATTTTCGCCATTCGCCTACGGTCCATTCCACTTCTTTGGTATCCATGGTGACCTCGAATTCGCAAATACCAGCATTACGCTCAAGCAGTTGTTCCCGAGGAGGCATCTTCCTTGCTGCCGGAGTCTTCGCTTTTCGAATGGATTCGTCTTCATCGTCCACCACAAATGGATACGGAATGACAACGTTGGACCAAGTGAATTTTCCTGGTGAATTCGTTTCCTCTTCTTCGTCGGTGTTGTTGGGGTGATGGTCCAGAATATCTTCATCTCCCGGAACTCTCGTATCATCCACTACTTGGGTCCTTCGCTCCTTGATAATGGCGACGCGAGGAGATGGATCCTCGTCGCCGTCGTGAACATCACTAGCAGCAGTTTCTTCCGTGGCATCCACTTCTCCCTGTGCCGATTGTTCCTCATAATTGGGTGTCTCGAATTTGAACCGATTGATTGTCCCCGACTTTTTGGCGATCAGTCCCTTCTTTCCGCGTTTTTTCTTGGAGGATGTTGTCGCGGATGAGGACCCATCGAAAAGAGCAATGGCGTCATCACGAATTTGATTCATGTTCAAAACATCCTGGTTATTGTTGTTGGAGGATGGTTTCGTCGTCGTATCCCCAATCTTGGCCAACTCCTCTTCCAGTCGTCGACGTCGATGTCCGAGATCCGGTTCTTCGTCTTCTTCCTCCTCCTCACTGGCGTTTCCATCTGCCGCATCGTCGACATGATGCTGAATGCTGGTTCCATCCTTCTCATCACTGAGTACCAGGACACTGCGTCCCGGTCCCGCATTGGAGACCAAGGACATGCGTCCAATGGAATGAATCAAGACTCCCCGCACCCGCAACAAAATGTCCTTGTGCGTGGAATATCCCGGCATGTTGGAATCGTACAATTTGAGGAATCCATCGACAAGCGAGATTTCTTGCATGGCTGGAATGGATCGCGAGAACAATTGAAAGGCAGCACGGCCCGATCCTTTTGTCAATGTGACCTTGGCATTCACTGTGGAAGGATTGGCGTGGGTCGACATGAGGGAAGCACTGCTGCTGTCACTACCACCACCAGCCGTGTGATATCCGTCCTTGTGAGTTTTAGTGGTGGATGATGACGATGCTGACGCTCCTCCCGTTCGCATGTAGTAATGATCGGCGCCCTTGGGAGGCGACGACGAATATCGCTGCCAATCAAAGTTTGTAAAATTGCTCTGATCATAACGTAAGATGACTTCTTTTCCAGGGGGCAACAAAAAGACGCCGAGTCCTTCGTTGCGTTCTTTCATGGTTTGTAACATTTCCGATTCGAGTGCGACGGCGTCAATGTATTGCGTGGGGATGACAACTTCTTCCTCATACGTTTCTTTGTTTCGTCGTTCAGTTGTTTTGATAGAGTTGGCGTTGGTGGCAGCACTATTAATAGTAGACGACGAACGCGTGTTTACGTCCGACGCCGTAGTTGAGGCATCTTGAGTATCGGTTCCATCTTCCTTCCGTTCCCCTTCTTCGGTCTGATCGTCTTCTCGTATCCATTCTCCACGATAAAATCCGGTGGCGTTCCATGGATAGTGAAATACAGTCTTGTCTTGTTCAGGATCGTGTTCTTCTTGCTGAGTGGTGGCTTGTTGATGAGCATCATGCTGAGGATTGGATGCGGCGACAAATTCGTCCTTGACAATTTCGGCCTGTTGTTGGGCCCACAGTTTGACATCGACAGGTACATCTTTAGCGCCATTCTTTTCCATCAATTGCTTGTAACGCAAATGTGTTTGCGTCAATTCTAGTAGCTTCAATTCCTGGGTCTGCCTTGCTCCAAAGACTTGAGCAGATAGATGGGCCTTGTGATGATTGCGTTTATGTCGTGGCTCGGCTCGTTTGCGCGCCGATTGTTCTTCCGAGTCCATCAAGAGCAGCATGAGCAGAAACATCATCAACAAACGAATCGTTCGTTGTCGACGTTCACGTTCACGCCATGCCGCAGCCTGAGTGGCATCCAGGTTGTTGGGATTCATATTCATGGGATCCCAAGGAGCCAGCACTTCACCCCCCGGGTTGTTGTTAGTATTGTTGTTGTTGTTGTCCATTCTTCTTCCTCCTGCTACCTCGAGTAGAATGAATTGTTCGTCTTGTAGGTGTGTACTGAAGAGACCTCTCACTCCCCGATAGCCAGAGCGTCTGCTTTTGGCAGGTTTGCTTCTTCCTCTTCGTCGTCCTGATCTTCGTCGGCAGCTTTGGCAGTTCAACTCCTACCACCAACCGAAATTGTCAATCTATCTGATGAAATGACGTAGTGCTGGCCTCACTTTGGAGTGTCTACTGGTACTCTGACACCAGCAGGTGGAGTGGATGGTGGTTGGAAGATTGCTCCTGTTTCAGGACTGCAAGTGTGCAAACAGGATTCTACCGCAAAGAGAAGGCTAGTCACGCTCTCGGGTGCGCTTTGTCTCAATCAATTGCCACAAAAGAAATGGAACTACTACGGTACGGTAGCTAGCTAGATAGTATCCAAAGGACTCTTCCTTCAATAGCTGCTTTCCGGGGCTTTCAAGGATGTTCAGCAGAGGATGGATCAATCAAGAAGAGAGGGTAGTGCAGTATGGTATGACTGACTCCACTCGTGCTGGATCTCTCGATCATCACGGATTGTGGATGCTCTTCCCGAATTACAAATTATTGTGCTTGCTTGCCTTTGCAAGCGCAAGAGCGCAAGGGATGCACAGTTCATGTATCTTGAAAAGATCCGGTAAAGCATTATGCGTTACACAATTAGATTTAGGGTGACGGATCTTTTGGTTCGCGTTAGGCGGCTCTTTCACGGCTTTGAAGCCGAAGACAGCCATGGAAGCCTTAGGGTTAACGTTACCTGATACAGGTACAATGGATGCGATCATGCAGACAATGTCATGCTGTACCTGATACGGTACCTGGAAGAAGAGAGAGTTGAGGCTGATAAATCTTGACCTTTGTACAAGCAGAGGAGAGTCTCAGTCAGTTGCTCCAACCTGGAAATTTCTGAAGGTGCAAGCGTTCACCTAGACCGATTTGCCGAGGCAATGCATGCTGCCAAACTTAGGTGTGCCAAGAGAAACACCACTCTCACTGAGTTTTTCAGTAAGAAATAGTGAGGTGTGTAGTAACTAGTAGGCACAAGGAAGGAGCACATAGCAGCCCTGTACAGGCACCGTTTGGGACCAAAGCAGGGTAGAAATCATGCTATCAGACTCTCAGTTATATCGTGAATTTCCCCCTCCTGATAAAAGTGAGAGTAGACTGCTCAAAGCGTACATGTACCACACTAAAAGACCCTTCCGGGTTGATAAACTTTAGAAAAAATGTCAACTAAATATCACCGGTAACCTTACTAATCTAATCCCCCCAATCAAGTAGTAGTCCATAGACGACCAGCAAGTGAAACCAGTGCCCGTTGTAAGTGCACAACATATTAGCCCCTCAACTCTCACCACCAGCCGAGGCTCCACCACCACCACCGTCGGCTGCTCCTGCCCGTTCAGGTGTGTTATCGGGTGTCACCAAAGGATTGGTAAGTCCAGGAGCGGCAACGTTCCAACCGCCAGACCCCACCAAAATACCCATCAAGCAGACAATGGATCAGACAATGTCTGAATAGCAGTATTGTCAAGGGCCAACAATTGATCAAGACGGCTGAGTAGCTCAAACTGGCCAGCTCGTGTCAAAGTCGGTGGAGGACCTGGATCGACTGCAGGACCTTGAGCGA